AATAACAGTCAAGATATATACGCAAATATAATTTGCGTGTCTATTTAAAATTTGTAATTGTTTCGTGAAGATTCAACCATAAAACAATTGCCGGAAATGCAGGTCCTGTTTACAAAAACTCAGGGAAAACCCGTGCGGTATGAAATGCATGGCGTAAACATGTCAATCAAATATCTATAAATATGACGTTTTATAATTGCACAGTACATCGTGTACGTTCTTGTTGTAGAACTTGTGTTGCTCCAAATCGAGTATGAAGTAAAATCAGGAGCATACTGTCACAGGCTAATTTTGTATTTTAATACCTCTGGAAATACCAAGGCTTTGGTACCCCTATCTATCACAAAACTGAGTAACAAATCCAAAACGAAGTATGAGGACTAATATTTTTATATATATCATTTCACAGATTAAAAGTATTATTCAAGAAATATGTCCATTTTGATCTTAACGTGATACAAAAATACTAAATAACATGCAAAATTCAGTGCCAAAGAGGGATTTATTTTGCGGTAGTTAAATATGTAAACATATGTTCTCAAACTGCCAGAGTTTAATACCAATTAAAGCTCGCAATGCTATATATTTGGTTTGATACGAAGATAAAATAGTAAATACTCATAATAATTACAATATGTCCATGACCTTACTCAAAAATTTAGATTATTAAATCACATAATGGAACAACTTGCAATTTGCTACGCTCACTCGTTAGCAATAGTTCTCTTCAACACTCGAAATAAATTACATATTTCCGCACAACGATGTATAAATATCCTCTATACATTCCAGTTTACCTTTAATTTGTCAAGTGGTAGGCACAATATTAGTCCTTTTGATTTGTTATTCCCTTTCCCCAACACGGGAGTGATAGGAGCTTGAAAAAATGACAGTTGAATACTTGCGTGTAATTTGCTCGGAGCAATTTGCAATCAACATTGCAAGATTGATTGCAATGTTGCAATACTCATGGGAACAGAACATCCGGTTTGACTGTAAGAGTTATATCAAAAAGACTGCTATAGAAGAAGATTTTATCAAAATAAAGTCAGGATAAAGTCCATTAATAGTTTAATACCACGATTACTAATGATTACTACTCTTGAAAGCTTTTCGAAAGACGCCATCTTGTTTTAAAGCTGTTCTAGCCTGCGAACAGGCCTTCAAAACAAGGTTGACGGACTTAACAACTTAACTTAACTTACTTAACTTTACTTTACTTTACTTTACTTTACTTTACTTTACTTTACTGACTGACGCGATAGCAATATATCTGCGCTACGCGCAGATACAAAAAGGTAAAACATCGATGTGTTTCACTCAGCTTTATCGTGCAGCAGATGGTGGTCAACTTGCAGTTGTTAGAGTTAGAAAATAATATTAATTCTTTTCATGATAAATCTAAAATAAAATGAATAGGCAATTCCAGCTTTTAGTTTATGCGTGCAGGGGGGATGGGAAGTGAGGTATCATATTGCTGATTATGCTGAAAAAAATAAAGTAAACACAGAGTGATAGCTTATACTTGTAAATATTGAAATATTTCGGTTGTTTCGGCAGTTTTTATTGACGTTTTTCAGTATAATCAGCAATATGATACCTTACTTCCCGTCACCCCATGCGCGCATAAATTAAAAGCTGAAATTGCCGATTGACGGTCTGTGGCCGATTTCAGAAATGTTGGTACTTATAAGAGCAAAAAAATTAAACTACACCCATCATTACAGGTAAACTACATCAAGCGTTCCTCTTTTGAGTTCCTAACTTGATTGCAATTTTCCTTATTGCCTTTGCAATTAAATTTTCCTTAGTTTCTGTTAGAAGTTTATACTTTCCTGTTACAAGTTCCTAACTTCCTGTTCTGTTCTGTTCTGTGCGTTGTAATTGACTAACAAAAATAATCCACCAATCACCAATGACAACGCTCAGAACAGAACGGTAAGTCAGGAAATTAAAACAGACAGTTAGGAAAATTTAATAGGACGTTTCTCTGCGTTAGAATATCGCAAGAGATTTGCAAAGAGTTTTTCAAATTTGCGAAGGTAATTAGGAAAATTCCAATTGAATTAGGAACTCAAAAGAGGAACGCTTCATGTAGTTTATCTGTAAAATACAAGACTACTGCAAATAATTAACATCATTTTCTGACTCTGATAACAGCAGGTTAATCACCATCTCATTTGCTGCACGATAGTAGGTAAACCAACCTAGTAGCTGATAACCTTAGATCAAGTAACGTATACTTGATATTTTCTATAGTGTACCGCTTCTTAAGGAGCTTGGCCAGGACGCTTTGTTGAAGATTGCTGACGTTATAGATGAACAGCATTATGATGAAGGAGAATATGTTATCAGGCAGGGAGCGAGAGGAGAGACTTTCTTTATTATCAAAAAAGGAACGGTGAGTGCGTTGGAACAGATTATGGTTGTCATGATGGTCATGGTGAAGATGATGGTAATGATACTTATGATGATGGTGATGTGTTGGTAGTGGTGATGATGATGGTGGTGATGGTGTTGGTAGTGGTGATGATGATGATGGTGGTGATGGTGTTGGTAGTGGTGATGATGATGGTGGTGATGGTGGTAATGAATGATGAAGATGGTGGTGGTGATGATAGTGGTAATGATGGTGGTGATGATGATAATGATGGAAAATGATGATGGTGGTGAATTAATGGTGGTGATGATGGTGATGATGGTGGTGGTGATGATGATGGAAAATGATGATAATGATGGTGGTGGTGATGGTGATGATGGCGGTAAATTAATGGTGGTGATGGTGATAATGATGGTAATGATACTGGTGAGGCAAGTGTATTCACACCGATGTCGACGAGACTAATAATTTGTCCTTGTAATTATCAGATTGTAGTAACGAAGCGACAGAACGTCCATGACGAGCCAACTATGATTCGAGAAATGACGACTGGCGAATACTTCGGAGAGAAAGCATTGAAAGGGTATAGTGGGAAAATCATCTTGTAGAAATATATTGTGGTCTGATTGTACTGAATGATATATTAATGATTTGTCTAGGGATGATTTCCGAACAGCTAACTGTATTGCTGGAAAAGGAGGAACTCATTGTCTCGTACTGGATAGAGAGTGAGTCAGGACTTTTATATATCATTGACGGCTACTTTTGTTTACAGACTATATTAGGTTTTACAGAATAGTTTTATTAGTTCTAAACAGTTATTCCTAGGGGTGCTGTTTTACTACAGGAAAAACCTTAACTAATTTTATTTATAGTGGATAGCTGCATCAGTCTTACATTGTTCTTTTCATTATTTAGGGCTTATTGTCAGTTTATTAATGGTTTGCAAGTTAAAGATTATGAAGATCAACAAGCAACGACGGACGCAACCAAAGCAGAGTAAGTACACAGAGAGAGATAGATGTATGGGTAGAAATAAGATAACTGTGTTTCACTTAGTGTGATAGTGCAGCACACTGTGGATCAACTTTAAAATTAAGACAGTTATCAGAGTGACCAATCCAGTTCACTGGATGTATAAAAAACAAGTAATCCAAGTTTGACAGGTTATGGTGTGTTAATTATTACGTTTATAGGTTTTCTGTTTTCGTATTTATATTAAAGATCAGGCTTTTAGCTGTCATTTGACACCTTTATCGAATCATTGCGATAAAAAATTACAAAATACGATCTGATTTAAAGTGGTCGGTTGAAAATACCACATTTAAGATTTAAATGTTCTTCCAATTTTTGAATATTTGCCCAAATGTTTGTTGCCCATTTGAGAAACGCATATAGCTTTGCGAGTTCAGTCTGCAAACTTCCAGTTCTGTAAAATGTTTTAATCACTCAATTTCGATGCAAATTTACGAGTAGAAATTTACCAAAACTTGATGTTTACACATGCGTTGCGCCGTCTTGATTCAAGCGACTAATTTGAATCCCAAATGAGAATTATTTCAATACTCAGGGGCCATTTGACCACCATGTGTTGCAACATTGCCGACATTTAAAATGCTTCACTGAACACCAGCTGTAGACTGAAGTATCACAAGCAGGACTGTATGTAAATAAATGTATCAGTAAATATGATGTCATACAAGACGTAATGTTCATTTTTTAGATTAAAAGAACAAGTGAATGAATTTGCTCATATTCAACTGGAAGATCTGACAGTTCTCAAGACACTCGGTGTTGGTGGTTTTGGAAGAGTTGAACTGGTAAACCATGTGATGATCTTTATTTAGTTTATCGAGTTTCTCATTCATTGGTGAGCGGATTTCCAAAGAGGCTATTTGCCCAATTGATAGCAAATTCGAGGTACCTGCGATTTAACGCCTTTATCCGAGAAGACGCGAAAGTCTGACCATTTATTGATGTGAATGTAAAGGTAGCTCTTTCTCCTCAGTTATTTTAAGACCTTGAGTAGAGGTCCGACCAAGGATTGAACCCGGGTCGACTCCCAGCTTGAAAGGTGGTGGTGACCACGGCACCACATGTGCTGGTTAGATTGGCCGTTTTTATACTAGAGACGCATTATGCGTCTGGACGAACTTGGGCAAACATTTGTTGTTCGTCTGGTTATGCGTCCTTAGTATAAAGACGGGCACAAGACGCATTATGCGTCTAGACGAACTATGTTCGATTCTTCGTCTTAAGAGACGCACAACCGATGATAGTTCGTCTAGACGCATAATGCGTCTTGTGCCCGTCTTTATACTGATGACGCATAACCAGACGAACAATAAATGTTGATAGTTGTCCCATTGGCCGTTTTTATATTAGAGACGCATTATGCGTCTGGACGCATAATCCGTCTTCTATATTATTCGTCTAGTATTATTCGTCCCGTCTTTATACTAGACGAATAATGTAGAAGGCGGATTATGCGTCCAGACGCATAATGCGTCTCTAGTATAAAAACGGCCATTATCTGAACTAATTTATTGAAACTAAATGCAGGAACTGAACCCCAGTTATTCATGCAAATTAACCATTCAGATATCTTTGGCAAGAAAGCCACTACACATCATTTTGGCTAGATGCCGTAGCTTACGTTTTCTTGAGAAGAGGTCCGACCAAGGCATAGAGGACCAAGGATTGCACCCGGCTCTCCCAGCTTGGAAGGCAAGCGTGGTGAGCACGACACCATGTGTTTTTAACCTTGCAAGCCATTGATAAACTGACAATAGAGGCGTGGAGTATCTCTGAGATCTAGTTTAGTTTGGATCCTTTCTCCAGGGGTAGAAAAAGTATTGAAAAAAACTTGCTTCCTAATTATAAACGGTGTTATTTCAGGTGAAGACATCCAAGGATAAAAGAACGTTCGCCTTGAAGCAACTGAAGAAACATCACATTGTTGAAACAAGACAACAAGATCACATTATGTCCGAGAAAAAGATTATGTCCGAAGCTAATTGTGCTTTTATAGTTAGGTAAGAGAAAATGACTTTTTTATACCGGATAGCTCTGTCAGTTTTAAACTGTTCTTCCTAGAGGTCCGTGATGGTCATCTTGTTTTGATCCAGTGCTACAACAGCAGAAAACTTGTACTAAACTAACTTTATTTATACTGGATAGCTCTATCAGTTCTAAACTGTTCTCCCTGGAGATCCAGGAAGAGTCATCTCTTATTGATCCAGTATTAGTACAGGAGAAAACCTAAACTGCACTAACTTTATTTATACCCGATAGCTCTGTCAATTTTAAACTGTTCTCTATTTTTCCGTTTATCCAGGTTGTACAAAACATTTAAAGATAATAAATATTTATACATGCTGTTAGAAACATGCCTTGGAGGTGAATTATGGACCGTTCTTAGAGATAAGTAAGGAAATATTTATTTTACATTTTCCTGGGGCAGGTTGTATGAAAGGTGGATAAGTCGCTATCCAGCGGAAAAATTTTATCCGGAGTGAAAAGCGCGTATTACAAAACTTGGATGGCGTTATCCAAAGGATAAAATGCACTATCCGTTGGATAAATGTACCCGAGATCCGGAGGTAGTTTAAATTCGTTATCTGACGGATAAACTCGAAGTTTGAAGACGAAACAATGTGTATTTCAGATGAGTGTGATTGTGATAGAAATGGACAAATACCGTTGAGAAGTCCCTTTCTTGACACTACATGAACATGGAAAACGTACTTATGACTTCTCTTGCCTAGACGTCAAGTATTCTGGCTTTTTCCCCTTCTTTTCTTCTATTATATAGTTTGAAAACAAGCAGTAAAACTTCCACTATTAGTTAAAACAATGGCTTTTCTTCAAAGCCAAACAAATGGTTATCTGGCAGATAACTACCCATTGGATAGGAGATTTATCCATTGGATAGGACTTATCCACTGAATAGCTTATCCACCTTTCACCTTTCATACAACCGGCCCCTGACGATTGCCGCTGAAATATAGTAGAGAATTAAAATGTTATCAATTTCGGATTACCCACTGTTTCGATTTCTGTTTCCAGATCTTCATTCGACGATAGTACGTGTAGGTTTTATGTTGCTTGCGTCCTGGAAGCATTTAATTATCTTCACTCCAAAGGAATTGTGTATAGGGATCTTAAGGTAAGCCTTGTATTCGACAGTAAAGTTATTTGTGAGAAGAGTGCTTCCAGTTACCAAACACGTCCATTTATTCAAGTTTATAAGAGATGATCCTTACTTTACTACCAGAAAGAACAGTTTATAACTAATACAGCTACAGTATCTAGCATAAATAAAGTTAGTTTAGGTTGCCGTCTGCACTCTGCAGTAACACTAGATCAATAGATGACCCTTACTTGACCTCTATAGGGAGAACAGTTTAGAACTGATAGAGCTGTCCAGTATAAATAAAGTTAGTTTAATTTAGGTTTCCTGCTGTAGTAACACTGGATCAATTAGAGATAACCCTTACTGAACCTCTATAGGGAGAACAGTTTAGAATTGGTAACGTTTTCAGCCGCACTTGCTAATTAACATTTATGTTTCTTCCTTTTACAGCCAGAAAATTTATTATTAGACGACAAAGGGTATTGTAAATTGGTAAGACCTCACAATGCTTAATATGTAGTTTTGTGTTAATATAAAATTGTATGTTTCTTCTTCCAGAACTAAAGTGGGATGTTTACTGAAGGTGTATATCTTGTTTTTATTTCTCGATTTTCAGGTTGACTTTGGTTTTGCAAAGAAGATTGGTTTTGGCAGAAAAACGTGGACTTTCTGTGGTACACCGGAATACGTTGCCCCTGAGATCATTTTAAATAAGGTAATACACTTGCTGTAGCACTATCGTACACCAGGTGGTGGTCAATCTGCAGTTATCAGAGTGAAAAAATATTGCGGGGATTTGTAGATGGCAATTTCGAGTGGAATTTTTATACATTTATTACACCTAACCAGGAGCAGTTGCGAAAAATGCAACTATTGGCCCTCTGACAGGAATCGATGCAGAGCTCTAACCAACTGAGCTACAGAGAGACAGTTGTTGAGCTCTAACCAACTGAGCTACAGAGAGACAGTTGTCGAGCTCTAACCAACTGAGCTACACAGAGACAGTTGTTGAGCTCTAACCAACTGAGCTACAGAGAGACAGTTGTTGAGCTCTAACCAACTGAGCTACAGAGAGACAGTTGTCGAGCTCTAACCAACTGAGCTACAGAGAGACAGTTGTCGAGCTCTAACCAACTGAGCTACAGAGAGACAGTTGTTGAGCTCTAACCAACTGAGCTACAGAGAGACAGTTGTTGAGCTCTAACCAACTGAGCTACAGAGAGACAGTTGTTGAGCTCTAACCAACTGAGCTACAGAGAGACAGTTGTAGAGCTCTAACCAACTGAGCTACAGAGAGAC